AACAAGGTGTTGGAATCATTCCTCAAAGATTTTGGTCCATATTGACATGATAGCATCACACAGTTGCTGCAGATTTGTCGGCTGCACGTCCATGATGCGAATCTCCCGTTCCACCACATCCCAAAGGTGCTCTATTGAATTGAGATCTGGTGACTGTGGAGGCCATTTGAGTAAAATGAACTCATTGTCATGTTCAAGAAACCAGTCTGAGATGATTTGAGCTTTGTGACATGGTGCATTATCCTGCTGGAAGTAGCCATCAGAAGATGGGTACACTGTAGTCATAAAGGGATGCCATGTGATTGGCTGATTAGCAATTTGTGTTACCAAGCAATTGAACAGGTGTACCTAATAAAGTGGTCGGTGAGTGTAATATGCATTCTTTATAACAACTTGCATACAACATCCTTCCTTCTTTCAAGCAGACATTTATTTATATAAATTAAATTTAGATTAATCCTTATTAGGGCTACTAAAGTGATTCATTGAAAAGCAGTGAGTGATTTTCTCCCTTTCTTTTGTTGATTCATTAACAATAAGGGCACAGACAACAGCAACTAAATTAGGCTGCTGTCCCTTTAAAACTGACTGTGCGCCACGGATTCAATAGTTATACTAGTACAAACTTCCGATATTCTCACAACAGTTTACATTCACTTAAGACGTAACCGGGTATGTTTACGTGAATACTCGTCGAATCGTTTTGTGTGTATTTCTGCAAATGAACTGATTTCAGTAGTCGTGCGCTGTTTGAGAGGTACTTTTCTGTGTGCGTGATTCGTGATTTTAACATTTTATGAGACGTGTAGCAAGTGTATGCAAACATATGATCAGAGCCAGTTCAAATGTGTGCATCTACCCTCCCTTCCACGCAGGAGATTCGTTCTGACGGGGTCTTTTCCCAATCGTCCCTCCCTAACATTTTTGTCTCGTTTTTATTCGTTGATGAAAATGACAATAGATTTTTGCCATTGTTTTTGTCATTCAAAAAGTCGTTATCATCTCATTTTCGTCTGTCAAAAAATGTTGTTGATGAAAATTATGACGAAAATTATTAATCAATTAAATTAACACTGAATGGAGGCAGATCTGAATACAAGCTTGCAGTCTGTAGAGTGCAACAGTCAGGTTCCTGAAGTTAAAATCCCATTTATTTTCTCCATAAGGGAAATTATTTTTAATGATAACTTGTGAGTCTTTAAAGAGCTGTTTAAGTTAGTACTTGATCTAACGGTTTCTTCTGTTTTAACTTTAGGTATTCTTTAAAACAGCCAGCACATTTAAGAACTGACTTGTTTATTTCAAAGAATGCCGGTCATTTAGGGATCCTTGTTTCTTTGTTAGGCTGGAAGGGTGGGATTTGTTGAATATAATCTCTAGAAGAAAAAAAAAACAAAAGCTGAAGGTTGTCCCAGATTCTGTAGCTTTTTTCCTCGACATGTCATGACTGATGCAGAGAAACAGTAATTGGTTGAACTGTTCATTGGGATGTTTCAGGCAGTTCCACAGTCTGGATGGGAAGGATGCTGCATTTTTAGACACAATGTTGTATGCGGGGTGTGAGGTTCATCGGTTTGACCCCAGCGGTCGAGGGAGTCGAGAGCCTGCATCTATTAAGAATCATCGGGCTTGGTTAGACTGGAGAAATCCACACCGTCATGCAGGCCTCATGGGTAATGTACACCACAGGCTGCTTGACATTATGGACTCCCTGGGCCACACCATGGTACTTACACCCAAATACACTAATTCTATGATTCTTTTACATGCACTAAAAGTCACGTATCATTTCACACTCACCGTCCAGTGCTGAATCTGTAGTGAATCACCACCTTTATGTACTTAAGTCTTTGTTCACACTAGGGCGTCATCGCAACAGTGACTCATAAGATGAGGTGCACTTCAGGGAATATGTGTATTATATTTAATCACTAGTCATTAAAAAAAAAAAACAGATTTCATACTAATACAATATTTTTTCTTGTTTTTTTGGTTGCTCCTATAATGTCACATTAATTTAGTGTCTGTTTATGTAGGTGGATGTTCTGCGTATGGATTTGGAGAGCGCTGAATGGCGCATATTAGAAAGCTGGATTAAGGATGGAACTCTCAGAAGGATCAATCAGCTCATTCTGACCATTCATATGCAGTGGGCGGGGTTTGAGGTGGGTGGTGCCGAAGAGGAGGTGGTGCGTTTCTGGTACAGTGTACTGAGAGCCCTCCGCATCTCAGGACTCCAACTCGTGTATTCGGCACACGGCCCAGTAAACATAGTGCTGAGACACAAACTGGCCGACTCACACAGCTCATACACACTCAGCTGGATAAGGACAAGCGAGCAGCCCAGATAGCCAACCGAAGAATCACTGCAAAAGACACTTAGATGCAGAAGCAAAACTCCAATTCCATGGAAAAGATGACAGATGTGTCTAAGAGTGCTTTAAACTAAAACAGCATAATTTAATGAGGCTGACGCGTTGAATACATACAAATATACATCACATTTCTAAGAGTTAAAGTTGCATATTAGTATTATTTTGTTTCTCTGCACAGGCTAAGTCTAAGACATGCCGTCTAGTGATTGTGAACGGTATTGCAATGATTCAACTGCATTTGTGCGCACAAGTAAAATCTGCTGTGATAATTTTTAACACGTTAAATTAACGTCATTTTTATAAAACAGGGCTACGTGCAATATTTTACAAGTGCACTCTTTTATATGAAATAAACTGTACACAAAATGTTTATTAGAATTGTGTCCTATTTGTTTTTCGGTGAGTAATGAAATCCTGGGCTGCATTTGATTCACAAAAAATGTTAAAGACAAATAACGGGCATTCCTTGATCTCTTATCACTTGTGGCTTTTTCTCCTCTGAATGTCGCCATGTTTCGTATTTGTTCGGACTGGCCCGATGTTCAGGAATGTTGATTAGCCCTCCCCTCCGTGTAGAAACTGCGAACAGATGTTTTCAAGCCGCTAGGGTGGAGTTGCGCTTTAAAGATTCCAGTTTCCATATCCGCCCCTTTTCTGTGATTGACGGACGCATCCGCCAATAGTATCTTTGGATGAACATGCACCGTCCAATCAAAAGTTACCAAATGCGGGACTGAGCAGTCGCTGCCATACAACTCTTGTTACAGTACTTGTAGACATTTTGTCGTTTTAGAAAGTTATGGACGGAATTAACCTCAGGGAATGGTACTGCTGAGGTAGCCAAAAGACGTCGGCATCTAAGGCCAAATCCATATATATATTCAGGTAAGACTGAGAAGTACTTTATATGTGCGTAAAGTATTAAAGAGTCGCAGTTGGGTTGGCGAGTTGACAGTATGTAGTCAGCTAACGCTAACACTTCCTGCTCTGCACTGACGCCTCGGAGAGTTTAGGCCTCAGCTACTAGTTTTTTAAGTATTTTAAACAGTCGTGACAAATAACCCTTTGTTAATTTGATAGCTTTAACTTTGAACTGGACATCAGTTTACTGGGAACAACTTTGATTTGATCTTATCTTGTCACAAACAAAGTTAGGTTGGTATGTTGTGAACATAGACTGTATGGTTGTGAACTAGAGCCTCCACTGCCTCCCAATATAGGAAGTCTGATGGGTGAACATTTTTTTCCTTTATGCACAAGCATTTTTTTTTTTCTGAATTTAACCCGAATTATATTACACTTAAAACTGGATTCAGATGTGTAAAATTATTCCTATCTGTACATTTAACATGTATATAAAAAGTTATATAGTCATAACATGGTGAAAGGATATGATTGGTTGTTTATAAATGGGTCAGTTGTGACCTTTTAATAACCACAGATAAAACACCTTTTAAAATAAAATGTATATCAAATATAAATAGCCCGAAGACAAGAAGTGTTAATGGGTAGTTGCTTGCTGCTGGTGTTAACTGCAGAAAGTAGGATATAAGTTGTCTTGGCAGAAGAAACACCGCAGCAGTTTTGGTTCTGCTTTGGACACACATATAAATAAGGCTGTGAGTGTGGTTGTGCTGAATATGTGGAAAAAGCACCAGACCATATTGTAGATTCTGCCTCCCCAGCTAATGACAGGATTTTTAATGCATTGAATTCTTTTTTTCTTTTTTTTTGGTCTCAAAGAGGAAGGTGACAGATAAGCTCCCATCATGCCTTTGGTGACGCGAAACATCGAACCAAGGCACCTCTGTCGCCAGTCACTGCCAAATACAATCAAGAGTGAACTGGAGTGTGTGACCAACATCACACTTGCCAACATCATTCGCCAGCTTGGATCACTTAGTAAGTGTTTGTGTAATGGGGTGTGTACTGAAGTAAATCGGTTGTGTGTTGCTGCTTTTAAGCTGTCATTTAATCATAGGTAAGTATGCAGAGGATGTGTTCGGCGAACTGTTTGTCCAGGCCAGCTCGTTTGCCGAACGGGTCAACACGCTGGGAGAGAGAGTGGACAAGCTGCAGGTCAAAGTCACCCAGCTGGACCCTAAAGAAGAGGAAGGTAAGAGACATTGGGTTCTACTAAGATTTTACCTTATAATGATGTGGCATATTAGTCATATTTTCCTTTGGTTTAATAACATTTTATTTGGACCACACTGTTTTGTACAGAAAACAGAATTGTTAATGCTGAGTTTTGATTAAGTTTTGAACAGTATTATTCCATGTTGTTTTATTTTGTATTTGCCTTAGCTCATTTGTATTATTATTATTATTATTTTATATTTATTTTTTATTAAATTTTCTTCTCATTTACTTTTTATGCATCTCCAACTCTGTTTTTAATTGATTTTACTCTGACAAAAAACACATGACTTTTTATATATATAATCCCAATCCAAACCACTTCTATTTGTGGTTAGAATCTGATTTAAAAAAACGTTTTTTCAAAAAAGTTAAGCTGTCATGAGAGGTCTGGTGAGAGCCCTGAGGATGGCTGTAATGTTACTTGTTTTTAACCAATAACTTTTAAGTTTATTTTCTAGAAAACACCTTTTCTTTCAAGAAAAATCTGTTTTTGAAATGCTTTTTGTTGTCAGCCGTCAGATCAGATTTCAAGTGCTTTCTCGTACCTGTCACTGTAATGTCATGCAGAAAGCACAGCAGTGTGTCTATAGCTGTATCTGAATTCACTCCTGTTTGCTCATGTGGCATTCACTGTATTAATATACTGTATAAATAGTACATTAATGTTTCTGACGCACTTGATGAGTTCAATAAGCAACATGTCAAGAGCAGAGGCGAAATTAGTGGTTTTCCCCATCTACTCCCCTGTATCTCTTGGCGTCATAGTGATTACTATGGCAACACAGATTTGATATAACCACTTGCAAAATGAGACTAGCCATAAATATCAGATCTGTGTGCGTTGTGAACAAAGCCTTAATTTGTGGTTTTTCGAGCAATGATGCAAAATATTAATTAATTCCAAATGTCATTACCTGTCTTTGTTCCTTTCTTTTTACTTCCTCCTATTTTGGCTTTCTCGTTCCAGTTTCTCTTCAGGCCATTACCAGCCGCAAAGCCTTCCACTCCAATTTCATCCAGGATCAGAAGCTCTTCATTAGGGTGTCACTACCGCAACCTATCCAAGAGACCTATCTGACCTGCAGCCAGCCACCCCCACTCAACAATCTGAGCTGTTACAGGTAAACACACCATCACATCTGATCTCCATGTACTGACCATATACAGGCATGTGAAACTCTTTATATTCATCACAATATATTAATTGTATTGCTTCAGAATATGGTTATTTTGTTTCAGTATAAGGTGGTTAAAGTGTTTTCTGTTTTCCAGGGAGGATGGAAAGGAGGCTCTCAAGTTCTACACTGATCCGTCTTATTTCTTTGACCTCTGGAAAGAGAAAATGCTTCAAGATACCAAGGACATTATGAAAGAGAAACGCAAACATAAGGTGGGACATGAGAGTATGAAGCATGCGTACACATGTACAGCAACACCTCAAAATACCAACCAGAATGCATGAGCTTCTGTAACCATGTTTATTTCTCTGTTTATTGAGAGCAGAAGAAGAAAGATGACAACCCTAACCGAAGGAACTTGAACCCTCGAAAGATCAAAACCCGTAAAGATGAATGGGAACGCCGGAAAATGGGGGAGGAGTTTGTGGTTCCCAAAAACGATAGCTTGGGGTAATGAAAACTAGGGCCAGGCTGACTATATTTTAACTTCCTTTTGATGAACAGTATTGCCGGGCTTCAGACTGCAACTAAAACAGTCGCATTTGCGAACAGAAATATTAATTTGCGAGTGAAGTTTTTGCTGAGGTCACCACTGGCGACTAAATATATCTATGTTATAACTAGAGATGCACCGATTGACCGGCCAGTGATCGGAATCGGCCGAGTTTTCGCATGACCGGCCCGGATTGGTGACCGGCTGTCAGTCTCATGTCTTGCCGGTTCTGAGCCAATCCTTATATTGCCAGCGGGGCCGGCAATAACGTCATGTCATGTTCGCGTGAGAATGATTCTAATTTTAATTGCATTCAGTGTAAACGGCAACTGATAATGTATTTATGTCGTGCCAGATGAGGCTTACACAGCCTGAGTGAGTGTGTGAGAGAAACAGCACACACAAAGGAACTCACAGAAATTTTAGATGCATACTGCGGTAGAAAAAAAAGATATTTACAAAATATTATTTAGGTAAGCAATATTATATGGCCATGATGTTTCCCCAAATATCAATATCAACACGATTGCAATGTGACACTGATTTTATACAATAGTATTTCAATAAACAAGAAGTTAGACTTAGATTTTAGACAAAATATTGACTGTTTTTGCTAAATTTCGCTGACGAAAATAGTTCCGATCAAAGCCACAGCAGAACTGTTGTGTCTCCGAGCAACACAGCAGTGTTTAGTTACTGAATGAATCCACGTTTTTGAACGAATCGAGTGAGTCAATGATTCAGTGACCCATTCATAAGGACAGTCACTTGCCTCGTTTCTGAATGAATCGGCCGTTTCAATGAATCGGTTGAATTAATGAATAACTCAAAACCGTCATCTGTCGTTAAAACAGACATTTTCTGCCACCTACTGGTGGTTTAGTCGTATTAAAAGTATCATTGCATTTTTTCAACATTTATTTTGTATGTTTTAAAAAACATGTAAAACATTCATCTTATAAAATTATTTATGCATTTTAAATTTTGCAGTGTAAATGCATTTATGGCACCTCAGCTTCATCAAACTGTCTGTGTAAATGCATCTAATGCCACTTTAGATGGAGCTTCTGTTTCCTCAGCAGTGGAAAGATAGTTTGTTTAACTAATTTCTTTTGAATGGTAACAGCTCTACAGTTTCTTATTATTCTAACTGAATTAATTGAAACAAAGTAAGAATTTGATGTGAAAGATGACACATTTAATAAGGTTGGGGGAAATGACCATTTATAAACAGTGGGAAATGACATCTGTTTTGTTACATACAGCAACTCATTTTAAGTTAACTATTTCTTCCTCTTTCCAGTCACAGAGCACTTTATTTTGAGAGTTGTTTTAAGTGAGAGAAAATCTGTAACTTAGTCCAGATTGGGGGAATTGTAATGTTTAATCATTTCTTTTATTATGTCAATAATTTTTGCAATGAAATTTGCATAGATTTTTGTTTGTATATGCTATCAATTATAGTTCTTAGAAAGAAAATGCGGAATCGGCAAAAATCGGTATCGGCAGGTCACACTTCCAAAGAAATCGGAAATCGGAATCGGCCAAGAAAATTGCAATCGGTGCAACTCTAGTTATGACTTAAAAATGTGTATGTAATGCCTTTTTCCTGATTGTTTTGCGATCACATCTTTTGTTAATTTGACGTGATAAACGGAGATAAAGCACATCAAAGTTTTAGTGGAAAAAAGAGTTTCAAACAACTCAGTTGTGCAGCATTAGCGAGATCGAAATGACGGAGACGTGCAAGTAAAAGTGCACAAAAGCAGTGTCTATTTCGTTCTCAACTTGAACATACTATAACAGGTAAAGCTGTCAGCTGTGTGGATATTGGCAATATCGTTAACAGTTCTCGTTTATAATCATTACTAATAGGGCTTCTTCTTATCAAGATCTTAGCTGTGTTCTGTTAATACGTGAACTTCATATTATTTGAAGCGCACTTGCCGTCCAATAATCGCAAAAGGCTTTGTTCCTTTTTAATAAACAGTATCAGCTTTAAAATTATGCCAAATTCATAACGAAATTCAAATAATAAATACGGTTTTGGTGCTCTTTAATGAAGCAGGATCGATCGCTTTAGCGCTTCATTTCTAGCGACACGTGACCCATTAATATCTTTCTCTTTACTATTATAGTACAAAATGAACATCAAAAGGTAGGCTATTTAATAAGAAAGCCTACAGTACAACTTACTGAAATGTCTTATGCAAAAGCTCATTCAGTGTTTCAAACTGCGGAAAACGTGTAAAGCTTGTAAACATTGCAACGTAATAATACATTTACCTCAGAATAACCGTTCAGTGTCCATAAGCTCATCAGTCAGCTAAAAATAACTATAAAGAGGAGCATTTTGCTATATTTATGCGCTATTGCATATTAATATTTTTACTTAACCTGTTTTGTACATGATTCAACTCCTACAAAATTGCATTTTAGTAATGAAGAAAAACACTGAATGTGTGAAAGACACAAGACAACATTTATAGGATGCACTGACTGAGGAGGAGCCCAAACTACACTCAGTCTGTAATGAACAATTCTTTGTGTCTGTATATTTCAAGTTGGAAAAGACATTTAGTTCCCACTTTAAGTGAACCTTAGTTCCCAGGTCATCTACAAGATGGATTAAAATGCTGATAAAGTCAAGAAAAGATGAGTCTTAAACACATGCCAATATGATTGAAATGTTAAAATGTAAATAATAATAAAATAAATAAAACATGTTTATTCTGTGGCACCTAAAAAAAATAATTTGGTGCCTAGGTTTTTTCTTATAGGAGCCAATGGCTCCTTACTCAATTTTTTTTATCTGGAGCCCTGATTATTGATTCTTAAATCCCAAGAATCTGTCTTTTAGTCTGTTCTTTTCAGTTTATGCTTGAAGTAAACATTATTTGAAGCACATCTTCCATCCAATAACTGCAATAAGTTTTGTGAGTTTCGAGTTTCGTAACAAAGTCCAATCTTTCAAATTCTGTCAATTTTATACCAAATTCAATTTATCAATGTCATTTTGATGCTCTTTCTTGTGGTGTGACAGATCACTGCAGCAGTGAACCGATCGTCTCTTCCTTTTCACTAGTTATGTTGAAAGAAACAGTACAACTTACTGAAATATATCATGTTTCATGCAATATCTCAGTTTCAACCATGGAAAGAACAGCATGTCACAATGCAGCATTTACCTCAGCGAAGCCATTCAGTGTCCATTGTTTGTTAGGTAGCTAGAAAAAAATAACTCTAGGGAGGAGCTTTTGCTAAATACATACACTATACCAAATGATTATTAATATTTATTATTTTTACTTAAAACGTAAGTGTTGTCTTCATTATTTACGTTCAACTAAATCATTTATACCACCATTTAGATTTTTATATTTCAACAAGTTGGAGTAGAAACATTATTATTTATTCAAATATGAAAAAAATGCCTCATGCGCAATTTAAATGTTTGTATTCAACTCAGTTTTCTTTTAAATGTTGATTGTTATATACAAAAATTAATATATTGTATATGGACTCTTTTGTTAATTCTAACCTTTAATGGTAGCAATCTACCAACTGACAGGATTCCCCGTTTAGTTTACAGCTTTAGTTGAGAGAGATTTTATTCCTGAAGTACCATGTACTCTACCTGATATGCATTATGTCCAAATCGAGCCTAAATCGACTCAAAAGCTTCTGAATAGAATTGGATTGTAAAATCTGTCAATGCAATAGCATGACGCAGCATGAATGTTGAATTAAATTATTGATATCTGTATTTAATATTTCTCTTTATGTGTCTCTAACAGCAACTCTTCAGAAGTGTTGAACGGCAGTATTGGCTCTGGTGATGATGGATTTAATCACTCTGATGGCTATTTGGACCAAAGCACTAACTCCTACATCTATGATCCCAGCTCTCCTCTCCCACCTCCAATGCAAGAGGACTTCCCACCACCACCACCTCCAGACATGCCGTGAGTGTCTTAAAATAGCCTACAATTTCTCTCTTGTTGAGTATCAAGTGCAGATGGTTTTTTGAGCTGACAAGCGTTTATCCTCTTGCAGGTATAATGATGTATCTGGTGGTCCTCCTCCGAAGCGTGGCAGTCTTTTAAGCCCCAGTCATCCTCCTCCAGCTCCACCAGCGATGCCTTCTTCTCCAGGCCGTCCAACTGTTGCTCCTCCTCTGGCACCGCCACCACCTCCACCTCCCGGTGGCATGATCCCACCTCCGCCACCTCTAGGTTTTGATTCGCCCCCCTCTCCTCCTCCATTCTCCAGCAATGCTGTTTCCATCCCACCACCCATGGAAACCTGTAGTCTAGCTCCTCCACCGCCACCCATGGCGGGGGGACCACCTCCTCCTCCCCCTCCACCTCCTCCTCCAGGTCCTCCTCTACCTTCTGCTCCAGCCCCACCTCCCTCAGGAGGAGTCTCTGCTCCCGCCGCACCCAAAGCCCAGCCTGCTCCAGCCGCAAGCGATGCTCGCAGCGACCTTCTTTCAGCTATCCGTCAAGGTAACATAACTACATACATTTACACTCTTTAAAAGTTTGATTCAGCCAGATTAAACCATTATAACATAATCACATAAGTTTTATAGGTGAAATCCAGTCATTCCAATAGGAATCTGCGCTAGCGTGAGGGCAAAAAAGTTCTCTAAGCAGATTTCACTCATGTTCAAATTGGTCATGTGAATTCGCTGTGCAGACCACCAGACAGCTGCTTGGTTTGAAAGTGTTTTATATATCTTTGTTATTTATATTGAACAGTGAACCTTTTTTCACTAATGTGACTGCACTTTTAGTCTGCCTGAAATTATTTTTGTGAAGTTGAACTAACAGACCTAGATAATGAGATTGTCACTTGGCTTAGTCTAGCATGTGTATATACATTAAGGGTGCATTCACACTTGGCATGTTTGGTTCGATTAAAACGAACCCTGGTGCGATTGCTCTGTTAGTGCGGTTCATTTGAGCATGTGTGAATGCTGCCATCCGAACCCTGGTGCGCACCAAACAAGCGGACCGAGACCGCTGAAAAGATGGGTCTCGTTCCGCTTCCAAACGAACTTTGGTGCAGTTCGAATGATATATGAACGCAACACGGACCAAATACTTCTAAACAAACCAAAAACAGGAAGTAATGACAAAATGCGACACTATGTGACATGATTTGATGACGCGGTGTAACCAAAACAAAATGAGCAGAGGGCAAACGTGGAGCAACGATAAGGTAAAGTGCCTTTTATGAGCTCCTTGTGAGTTTGCAGGTGGTGAAAATAAAATTATATGTACACGTAAGAATGAGCGCGCTTAGTCCAGCAGACGGCATTAGGTGTGTTCGACATAAAGCGACTTGAACGCTTTAAGTCTAACGCACCTTTTGTTTGGGGTGTTCGGTGAGTTCCGTCACGATATATATGTCATTCAAGCCGACCAATCAGGTTGTGAACGTATCACTATGCCTTTAGGTTCGGTGTCTTTAGGTTCGCTGTCAAAAATGCCAATGTGAACGCTAAGCGGACCAGGACCAAATGTATCATTTTCCTTTTTGGTCCGGACCAAATGAACCAAACAAACCGAACTACAAGTGTGAACACACCCTAAGTTCAGTTTTATTTCTAGAGCACATTTAAGCACGGAACAAGGCCGACCAAAGTGCTGCACAGCAAACAGTAAAATACAATAAAGAGAGAAAAATCAGTACACAAATTAAAACTATATAAGAGCCACACGTTGCTACATATTAAAAGCCAAAGAGAAGAGATGGGTTTTAAGATATGACTTGAACTCTGATAAAGTGGAAGCCATTCTAATGTGAACTGGTAAGTTGTTCCAGAGGGTGGGACCAGCCACTTCAAAGGCTTATTAGACATTAATTGTCCTTGCGTGCATGCTCCAAAAACAACGCACATTGGGTATTTTATCTTTCAAATATTAGATTACACTTTGCGTCACGTATACTTGGACTGACAGACTATAATTTGACTAAGCAAAAACCTGCCGCTGCTTGATTATAACGTAATGTAAACATGCTGACTGTAAATTTACTGACTTATTTACACCTGAAATTAACATGTTAAGGTGATCTGATCTCAAGTAGTCAGAGCTAAATTTAGGTGTAGATGGGATCCAAAATATTTAATGATTGATTGCGCGCATTCAAAAGAGCATTCGGAAGTCAGAAATGTTGCCCCATCGTATTTGTAGTGTAAATGCTAATGTGTCGTGGACAGAAGTGAAGGGCTGCCTGCTTGCCTGTCTGTTTATTGTGCTAAAACAATGGCTTTAAACAACTTTGAAAGAAAACAGCAGTATTTATTTCAGTTCAGTTTAGCAAAATCTTATCACTGGAGGTTATTGCGATGCACTTAAGATACCTGTATAAGCAACCATTTAAACCTTTGTTTGGGGTTCGTTAGATTTTTTTATGTTTTTGAAAGTCTCTTATACTCACCAAGGCTGTGTTTATTTGATCAAAAATACAGTAAAACAGTAATATTGTGAGATATTGTTACAACATAGAATAACTCTTTTCTATTTATATATTTTAAAATGTAATTCATTCCTGTAATGACAAATCAGAATTTTCAGTAGCCATTACTTCAATATTCAGTCACATGATCCATCAGAAATTCTAATATGTTGATTTGGTGTTCAAGAAATATTTTCTTATTAATATCAATGTTGAAAATAGTTGTGTGGCTAAATATTTTTGTGAAAACTACGGTGCGTTTTTTTTTTTTTTTTTTTTTTCCAGGATTCTTTTGATGATTTAGTTAACAAGATCAGCATTTGTAACATTTCTAGTGTCTTTATTGTCACTTTTGATCAATATAATGCATCTTTGCAGAATAAAAGTATTTTAAAATCTCACTTTTGAACAGTAGCGTATGCCATGTGTTTGAAGAGTAATGTCTTACTGAACACTTGTCTTACCTGAATGATTAACAGATGTTAATACCACAAGTTAACAAGGTGTTCAGATCATTTCTACACACTGGGAGTATGAAAGGTTTATTAAAATGTCTCTGAGCTTGCTGTAATTGTGTCTGTGTGTGTAGGATTTAACCTGCGTAAAGTGGAGGAACAGCGAGAGCAGGAGAAGAGAGATCACGTGGGCAATGATGTCTCAGCCATCCTGTCCCGCCGCATTGCCGTGGAGTGCAGCGACTCTGAGGATGATTCATCCGAATTTGATGATGATGAGTGGTCTGACTAAAGCTATCGTCCCGCTCTTCGTCACCTGTGCGATGACATTAAGATCATTCCTTTTAGACCTCACACTTCTCATATTACCTGTTTACCTACAGTGAGGCCAAAAGCAAATAAGGGGAAGAGTGTGTGTCCAGAGGGTTGAGTTTAATCTAAATGAGAGAGTGAATTATTTAGTTGATAAGCCTTCTCCTGTTTCAGAGCACCTGTGCCTCTATATAATGTGGCCAAAGGTAAACCGAAACTGTGTGTGTGTGTATACTTCCATATTTTCCTCTTGATGCATCAGTATCGTTTCTGTTAAAATCCCACATGATTTAACATAACTGTATTAACTAATCAACTAAAGCCTTCCTTATAGCCAAGACTAGACACACTTTCTAATGCAGATATTTAAAATAGTAAGATGTTTTGTGTCTATGATAGTTTTTGCACCTTGTAGGATGAAATAACCTTGTATTTCATTGCAGTACGTATTCATGCTCCTTGACCAAAAGTCATTATCTGTTTAAATGGCATCCGGCTGTGTCTGTGCTGTTTTCAGCCCTCAGGTCTGACTGAATGATGTTTATGTCAGCCTCACAGTACTACCAGTAGTTTTTTCTTTGTTTAGCCCAAGTGCCTGCTTCATAATGCCTGTTGTTTTAATGCCAAAGTTTTAGAAATTATGCAAGATTTTGAAATCAAAGAAAAGTGAGATTGTTTTATTTGATACATGTGGGTAATAATTATGATTTTTTTTCTATCAGCAACTGAAATAAAATCTTAAATATACTGTGTCCGTCTGCTGTTACAGATGTTTTAGAAGAGTGTTGAGTGCATAGCTGAACTTTTTTCTACATGTATGAGCTTGCATGTGCAGGGGCTTTTAAAGACTTCAAACTGTACAGCAGCATGCCTATTATGCTGCTTGGGTTGGGGTAAACATTCAATCCACACAGGTGGTCTTGAGCTTCATGAGTAGTTTGAGAAATAAACAATGCAACAGGCCAGATCATCTCAATGATTTAATGTTTTTTTTGTTTTTTTACAATTTATACTTTGTAAATGAGATTTTAATACAAATCCAAACATTTAAAACCCATTCACTAATGCCGATAACTGTAACATTGTAATAACAATTGTTCTAATTCAATGAGAATATGTAAGCCCACACTACACCTATAACCATAATGATAGAGGAACTATCAGAATCTGCCGTCTTTAAAGAGCTCAAGCCTTTAAAGTGGCAGATGACAAAACTGCACACTCATTAAAAGCAGAACGTTATATGTGGTGTTTGGTGTGAAGCACTGATATCGTTATATTTATCAATCTTGGTGTGAACGGGCCTAAAGTGTCCTACTCAGTCAGCAACACAACCTTGCAATTAGTAAAAAATATCTGCTGCACAGTAAATAAGGCAGTAGGTTGATTTTTACTGTTGGTAAAAAAACATGTAACTTAATTCTAGATATTCATAGCAGTGTTATTTTAGTATCTTTGAGATACTGTTAGTTATAGTTTTATTATAATATATATATATTGCATTTTATTCGTGTTTTTAAACATCTTTTTAAAAATATATTCTATATATTTTTATTTTTTAATTTCTGATTTAGTTACTTTAAATGAAAATTATTATTTTTTTATATTTCATTTCAAGTAATGGAAGAACTATAATAACGTTGAGTCACAGCCAATTTATTTGGGTTAATATTTCAAATGAATCTTAATTTAAGTTAAAACCACACATTTTCACACTTTTGATATGATGAAATGTTTTTTTTTTTTGTGGAAAAAATACAAGAGAAAATGTACAAAAGTTACAATTTATTCATTATAAACATTTTCCATAAAACATTTAAACAATAAAACATTCATTCATACATTTGGACATTTTGTGCAACATTAATACATTGTAAGTGCAAACAAGACATTTATGATGTATAAAAACATCAGTCAGAATAACAAATGGCAAATAATCTGATCATTAAATACAAACAAAATTCAAACAAGTTTCAGCTTAAAAGTCAAGTCATTGTTGTAAAGTGCAAATGATTTTGATTCCATCAGTAAACTGAACTTCAGAGGATGTAAAATGAGGCACAAATCTGAGACATTAAAGCGGACAGGAGGGTTTCTTCATACAGTGGCAGTCTTCTCAGAATAAAGTAAAAAAAAAGACACGGTTACTAAACCCTTTTTAGCATTTAATAAAATGATGCAGATTAGATCAAGTCACTGACAGTGGTCATGTTAACACCATTGAGACAGGAGATTTGGCAACTGGCACAGTGATATTCCCAAACAGGAACAGACATAAAACGTGAAACGGATCTTGTATGGCACCATAGAAACTTCCAAAGTGTTCAGGTGTGCTCATGATGTTAGACATCACTGGGAGTGTGTGTGTTTTTGTTGGGTGTGTTAGGTAGACAACAGCAGCAGGCCTGTCGCAGCACTCTCTGTATGTGTGTGTTTCTGTAGGCATAGATCAGAGGGTTCAGCAGAGAGTTTCCTGTGACCGGAACCAATGTGGCGTAAGTATACAAAGCTGGAGACGATCCGTCGGCCAAGAGACCATACAAGGCGAAGGGCATCCAGCAGCTGGTGAATGTGGCAAGGATGAGGGTGAGTGTGTGAACCCGACGGCGCGTGTGTGTGCGCGCAGACGGGAGTGTGTGTCTCTGCAGGGCGATTTGGTGCGAGTGGCGAAGTACAACCCGGCAGATGCGAGCGTTGAGCTGCAGCATCAGAGCCAAGGTCAGCAGGAAGCCGCCGCACAGGGTTGCCAGGTGCACTCGGGTCAAAGGGCGAAGAACGCTGCAGGATTCTCCATCGTGCAAGCAATTCCAGCCCATGGCAGGCAGGGCACCTTGAAGACCCGCAAGAGTCCAGCCGATGGCCAGAGCGCAGCGTGTTTGCGTGTGTGTGCGGCAGGATCCGTAGGTCAGAGCGCGATGTAGCGAGAGGAACCGGTCCAGGGTGATTCCCAACAGAGAGAACACAGACGCACTGAGTGCGCTCACTAACAGACCCACGCTGCCCAGCTCTAGAGCTTCTGAGTACACACACCAGCGAGACAGGAAGTGCAAAAGGAGTCCCACCCCTGCCAGGAAGTCCGCCCAGGCCAGGCTGCCAATTAGCAGGAACATAGGAGCCCGCAGAGACGGCGAGGAGAAGATGGTGGCCACGACGATTGCATTTTCACAGCAAATCAAGGCTCCTGATACACACAGGGCCACGTCCCATGGAGTCATCACTGTGGCCTCCAGGGGTTTAGGGGTGACGTGGGAAGGGGTGAGTTCCAGCAGTTGGTTCATCGCCAAGATGACTTCTAAGCCCACTTCAGAGTTGTTCAGGGCCATTACTGTGGGAGAGGGAGACAGATTTAGTCAAGCAATCCACAGCATACTGTCACACATTCTGCTGAGCACTAGAGCTCCTGCGCTCCACTCCAAGGCCTGACCTCATAATGACATGCAGAGTAAGATGAACTGCAGTTAACAACATCGTATTCAATCTGACATTCCTAGTCTGCACACTACAAGTACTAGTGGAGATGCTGGGAAGGGCAAAAGCTAATGCAACACTTTATTAGTCAGTCTCCAAATGCATACATTGCACATTTGATTAAGATTACATTACAATTTTAATGTAAAAAGGATATTTAATTATAATATATGTAAGAATTCTGCAATAAAAACCTTTTACATAATATAATATAATATAATTAATATAATATAATATAATATAATATAATAATAGGTTTGGGGTTGGTAAGATTTTTTTATGTTTTTGAAAGAAGTCTCTTATGCTCAACATCACAGTAATATAGTGAAATATTAAAATTTCATTTTCTATTCATATATTTTAAAATGTAATTTATTCCTGTGATGGCAAAGCTGAATTTTTAGCAGCCATTACTTCAGTCTTCCGTGTCACATGATCCTTCAGAAACCATTCTAATTTGCTGCTCGAAGCATTTCTTACTATTATCAATATTGAAAACAGCTGCTGCTTTGTTTTCCTAAAATTCTAAATGACTTTGCTGTCACAGTAAAATATATTACTCATCAATTTCTATATTAATATAATACAACAAAATGTTAATATTTTGTCTTGTTTTTTTTCTATCTGTATATTAGGTATATTCATATTGGGTTGTTGAAGGTTTTATGTTGTCTGTGAACTGCATATTGCATTATTTTAGTGTTTTATTGTCATGTGGTATAGGTAATGTGTAGGTGAAATTAATGTTTCTTTAGCCATTGTTCACTGAAAGGCTAATTTTGAACTTTAAGCCAACATGTATTTGCCACCTATTATTATCATCATCCAGAAATGAAATGTGTTTAACTCACATTACAGTACTTATTCATGTAGCATTATTATTAATATTCATTCAAACAAAATGCAACAATTACACACAAGTCATAATTTCAGTAGGTTTATAAACAAACTAAAAAATGTATAGGTATCTCCTGGATCCTGAAGGGTTAAACGTGCGCCTGGCTGGGAATCACCGTTGTGAAGTTCAAAGCAGATTTAAGCGCTCCTCAAGTAGACTTGATACAACATACAAGGTTATGTAAAATATACGCGCACCAATAACACCATCCCTTAATGTCTTAAATATTCTCGCTGTATTTTCATAGCGAATTTCTGACAGCAAAGCTACTAGTCACCTTGAATTTAACAATAATCTTAGAGTATATAAAGATGCATAAAACAGACTTACGGAAGCTGTAACGTTAGAAGATTGCAAAGCGGACAATTCTTCACGCCACCATCCAGCTGAGGGTCTCTTGGAGCGCGCGCTGAAATCTGTGCTCGAGCTGCCAGTGAATCCCGGCGTCGAGCAAATCCAGTTCTTGAGAAAATTATATCTTGTTCTTCTTGCACCGCGAGGTTCCTTCGTAGCTCCGCTGTATTCGCTCTTTCGGTCGCTTCTGTACAACACTCGGCTCCGGTGGGCTGCGAGCTATACCTTCGCCGGTTCCCCTCTGACGTCAGTTACGATGATGAGGGGCGATTCTGCCCGGCCGACCAATCAGGAGACTCTCAGGGACACCAGCCTCTGTCGTAATTTCATTCATAAAAATACCGCATTCTTTCACCCCGCCCACTGCGACGGCGGGAGAGAGGACAAAGTGTAATCAATCGGCCTTGTTTAAGGCAGTCCGTGCGTGGACCAAAATGGTCATGTTTACTAAACATGTTAAACATTAAACTAGTAAACTTAAATCAGAATAGAAAAAGCTTGCCTCAAGCCAAGCGTGTGAGGGAATGTGAGTCACTGCTGTCCATGGTGCTGAAAAACTTGCTCGCTTCGTTGATTGTGACGTAAGTTGTGCCGCACTATGGGGTACGTGGCACAACTCTACGATTATTAATTTCACCTCTACCATAGAATCCCTCGTTTTCATCTATAACCTTGTAGAAGTGACAAAGCTCAAATATCGCAAACAAGGAACTCGCGCACGCGCATCTGCTTAGTTTACCATTTTTATTTAAATGCTATATTCTGATGATTGAAGGTTATAACTATGACATAATTTCCCCGCAGATGATGGAGATTGCGGCGCTTCCCGGCAGACTTGAGTGGGCGTCGCAGTGCTCGCGTGGCTCTGCGTTTCAATGAAGCAGGTGGACGAGCTACAATACTGGGGAACTCTCGTGTTCTCTATAAAAGGACATGCGCTTCCGGTGGTCACCAGCTGGGGAATCCTATAAGCAATACCCCCTTAAGCTTTCTGTGGTCGGGGAGAGTGTCTGCAAGTGTCAATTGAAGATACTGACTGAAGATAATGAACAATTTATTGAGCAATCCATCTTTAAGGACTGCTATGATTGACTAAACCGGGGGCTTGTTGGTAAAAGATAGTCTAATATTAATAATACATTTAAAGTAACAGTATTATATATTATATGAAATCACTCAATCAACAAATCAAATACATTAGTGTACACCAACAAGACTAAATTTTAAGGATCAGTTTGAACAACCTCCTTAAGGTAACTGCACCATGCTACATGTTTCTAAATGCAGCTTTCCAGGATTTCCAGCTGGTGCCTTTTGAGTGTTTATTTTATCCATCCCTGCTGGTCGGTACAAATCTTTTTTGTAACAATCTCCATTATGTTATGCAATAATGCATTATTGGCCTGATGCACTTCATGTGTCTCCACCAATCAAATACACATCATAAGCTCATTTCTGAGGTTCAGTATGTTTGATTCTGTGAGCTTATGTCAATGAGAGAATCATTTGAAAAGGATGTTTAGAAATAAGAGCACAGACACTGTTTATCATTCCACCGTTGTATCTCCTTGAGCTCCTTTTTGGCGGGAAGTCTGTGTGCGCGTGTGGTGGGGGGTGTACTGCGGAATTTCTCGCAGTTACCTAATATCTGCAGAGCGCATGCGCGGCTTTATCTCTGCACCTAGTTCTCCCTAGAGGAGGACGCCCACTCTCTCTCTCTCTCTCTATTCAGACGGCTTGGCACTACCTATTGATCTGTCTGTGTGTCGTGAGACATTACAAAACAGTTTAAGGAGTGATGGTGTGGGGTTAGACACTGAATTTATTGTAAAAACAAATGCTGACCTGATTTGCATTGATCCCCAGATGTAGCAATGATAGTGGTGACTGCTTCCTCATACACAAGCAGTATTCTCGCACCTACATATATCATCGCCTCCTCTGCTTAGTTTATTATGCTGTGACTTTTAATTACAATTAAAAACTGAGCATCCAGGAGCATGGCGAGGATGCAGAGGAATTGAGGGATATACACTCTTAAAAATAAAGGTGCTTCACGATGCCATAGAAGAACCTTTTTGTCTAAATGGTTCCATAAAGAACCTTTAACATCTGAAGAACCTTTCTGTTTCACAAAAGGTTCTTTGTGGCGAAAGAAGGTTCTTCAGATTACAAAAAGGTAAGAAAGAGATGGTTCTTTAAAGAACCTTTGACTGAATGGTTCTTTGTGGAACCAAAAATGGTTCTTCTATGGTATCGCTTGAAGAACCTTTTGAAGCACCTTTATTTTTAAGAGTGTAGAAAGGAGAACTTGTTATGTAACGATGCCAAACTCTGGCTCTCTTGCTCTGGCCCTGTTCTGTTTGTTTTTCCTGGATAAATATATATTTCAAATGTTAAATAATTATGTTGTACAAAGCACAGATTTGGTTTAAACCTTCAAATGCCAAAATATATTACAAAATGTACTTGAGTGGAACAAGAAAATGTATTTCCAATTTCAAAAATGTATTTTGGGTAAAAACAAAATGTATTTTTTAAATTTATGTTGGACTGTGTAAATGCAGTTTTATTTCGTATGAAAATATTTAAGAAATCACATTAAAAAAGGGCTAAAGGGAAATATAAGTAACCTGAAAATATATTTATGCAAACATATTTTAAAATCTACATTAGCAATATAACAATTTTACGTATATTTTAAAATATATTTAAAAATGTAATTATATATAAAATATATAACTACATGGCATCCACACAGCCTTTTAGCCTTACACTACATTGCTTTCTCTGAAAACATTTTCTGGGCCACCAGAGACAGACAAAAGAAGTCAAAAGAACCAGTATGGACATGCTGGTGACTGTTTATAATGGTCTGGGGCACAGGAGACCTGCATATTTTGGGAATGAGATGTGACAAATTTCTGCAGCCTGCTTGTGAAAAGGCAGAATTCCTTCAGTGGTGTGGATATCAAGACATGGTCATTTGCCATTTGGTTGCCATGTTACCTGTCTCACATTACACACCTTCCAGTCTCGCTGAATCAGAGGGCATGACGTCAACACACACACACCACATGCTCCTCACAGTTCACAACGACCTTTTGTCTGGAGGACACAGACATTTAGGACTGGAAGTTTGCTTGACAGGCACATTTATGACTCCTACTCTTTAAGTGTTTAGTTTTACACTTTCTGAGCTGAGGTAAAGTTGTTTGTGTTGTGTTGTGAAAGTGTTTCACTTTCAACTTGTTGGCGTCTAGTGCTTGTATCAAACTTTAGTTGCGTTATTGCGGTCAGTGTTTCGCAGAGTTAGTCTGACTAGAAAAAGTTAAGATTGTTAGGCTGATTCAGAGCTAAATAGTGTTTCACTCATATGTTAAGTTGTTGCTTTATTGATAATTTATGTCAACATTTCCAGTTCAAAATGAGGAACTTTGTGCTTATTACAGGTGGGATTATTGACAATTTTTTGAGGATGAGGTGTGTGTGGGCTGCACTCTGTGGGATTGTACTGCTAACGCAGGTTATTATAACCAATTCACAAACCTCAGGTAAGTGTCAATACAATAATGAGCTCGTATATCAATGCCGAATAGCTTTACCTTAAAAAAATAGCTTTGACTACTGGACTATCTAGCTCTGATGTCTCGCAGCCATTATATTCAATTGCAACTTTTCTGTATTGTTATTTTAATTCAAGGATTTTAGCTCATAAAAATAAATGTTGGGTATTTAAACACTTTTAAACATCAACCTAATCTAAGTAAAATCTTATCTGTGAGTTTTGATAAATCAGTTCTCGAATTAAAGCACAGTTTAAGAGTCAAATTTGTCAAGTCTGAGGTAAAAAGACAGTATTAGTTAGAGGAGCAGGTCTTGTGGTAGATCCAGCTAAAGTCCAGTTTAAGTCTGTTTTGTTCTGTTGCATTTGAGTGCTGCTGAACAACACTTACTCATTGGTATCAATTCAGAAAAGCATTTCTCTCTTTTCTACCATGTGATTTATCTATAATTTATTTGATAACATTTCTAACTTTTTCTCTTAAACATATGTGAGTGTGACGTGAGAATATAAGCTTACATCTTTTATCTCTTGATGGCCTGACAGATTCACCCGTTGGGGACTGTTCTCAGTTTGACTCGTGCAATGGCTGCATCAGCGGAGACCCGGCCCTCAACCTGACACGATGTGTGTGGCAAAGTTGTAATGACGGTAAAGAAACACATATTGCGTATGAGTTTAAATGTATTCTCCTGTGCAATGTCTCTGTTGTTTGTGCACACACACATACAGAGGATCCCACTGAAGGACATGTGATCCTAGCCACCGAGAGCCATCTCAGGAACAACCTGGTGAATTATTCAAACACAGGCACACGCGCAGTTACAGCTGCCGTCCACATCAGTCTTAGTAAATAATTCAACACCATTATCTACCCTCCTGGAAATAAGTGTGAGGAGACATGAAGAGAGAGATGTTCAACAAGAAGCAGCATCTTTAGTCTATTCATGCTCTGTTGCCAAGGCAACCAACTCTGTCACCCAGTCTCTCTCTCTCTCTTTTAGACCCATATCTAAAATACAACTAGGTTTATGCTCACTCTGCTTTACACACTAAAATAAACAACACGTTTAGAACACAGAGACTGAATGACATTATAGCGCTTTCTACTCGACTACTTGTCAAATAAACAAATACATGACTTGAAATAGTGATGGGACGATTGGTACCGAGGCTCCGATGCTCCGACGCAGTTTTCAAAGCACTATTGTATCACACACTGTGCCGATGCTTGTATTGAAATTACATTACCACGTGATTGATGACGTTTGAAGCCACAAGAAAAAAGCCATTTTAAAGTGGTTAAGCAAATAATAATAATAATAAAAAAACAAAACTATCCTTATAATCACTGAAGCTGTATACACTGTGAAATTAATCTCTTACTTACATTGTACGTACATCTGCGCTTTGTTGTTTATGATGAGAGAATTCGCAAGAGTCCGGAATTCAGTCAGCGAACGCGCGCGCGCACTCAACAAAACTGATCTGTTTCAACGATGACTCATCTGAACGCCTCTGATTGGCCATTGCATTCCTAAGCTCAACAGAATTGTGTGTGATTGGTTCAAATGCACAACACTGTAAAAACGCCTAAAATGAAATACGGTGCAACATGAGCAGATCTTAATTTAATGCCGCAATCGACACTGTTTATTCATACTCACTTTGTTAGCAACAGACGTAATAGATTTAATTTATTTGTGCAGGGGCATTTTTGTACAATTTAGTGCCATTTTTGCCAAGTCCCCGTGGCCAGGGGAAGGCTAAGCACACACGCTCTGCCTATGGGATTCACCCAAAAATGAAAAGGGCGTAGTAAGGACATTGTTAAAATGGACCATATGACATCAGTGATTCAACCGTAATTTTAGAATACTTTTAGTTCGCAAAAAATTTTTTTTTAAAGATTTCTTCTCTCCCGGTACAGTCCTCTGTCATTATTGACGGCATGCGCTGTGCCTTCAATAATGTCGATAATGGAAGAGGCAGGGGCGCCGTAAGGTGGGGAGGTTAGGACGATTCTAAGGGCCCAACGATGGAGGGGACGCAATTTCTGAATGAACAAATACACCTTATCAGTTTAAACATGCAAACACAAAACAATGTGAAAGAGCTTAATTCAGCACCCGCGCTGTGTTCTGTGCACACAGTGCGCACACAGAGAGCCGCGTCTCACAGCCCTTGAACACCGAATTGAGTTTTGTCTCTTCTTGCGCTCGAACGGACAAGTACATACAAAATTATGTCTAAATATCTCTCTTGGGAAGAATCTTCAAAAAACTGTTAATGTCTTAAGTGAACATAAACAGTTGAGAAACAAATCGGATGTGAATCATTTTATTGGATGCATTGTCTCTTGAAGTGACCACGCCTTAATTTACCAGCTGCTGTAGGTGTCCTTAAAGGGATAGTTCACCCAAAAATGAACATTCTGTCATCATTTACTCACCCTCAAGTAGTTCCAAACCCGTATACATTTCTTTGTTCTGCCGAACAGAAAGGGAGATATTTTGAAGAAAGTTTGTAACCAGGCTTTTTTGTGGCACCATTGACTTCCATAGTAGGAGAAAAAAATACTATGGAAGTCAATGGTGCCCCAGATCTGCTCTGTTTCCCACATTCTTCAGAATATCTTCCTTTGTGTTCTGCAGAACAAAGACATTCATACAGGTTTGAAACTACTTGAGGGTGAGTAAATGATGACAGAATTTTCATTTTTGGGTGAACTATCCCTTTAATGTTAATTCAAGAAAATCATTTTCTGCTCTTGACTGAATTACATTGTAGTTTTAACAAGAATTCATCTATTTTCAATTTATACAGTGAGGACTATGCAATGATATTTATGATATTTCATTTGATTATTCTGTCTCTACTTGAACACCTTGAAAAAACTTATAGTTTAATTTGTATCTTTATTCTATTTATTTATTTGTGCTATTTACACGATTTCAAACAGGGTCCACAGGCAGGCTACAACCTGCACCAGGGCCCCGCAAACCCCAGCTACAGCCCTGGATTATACTGTTGTTTAATACAAACATATTGTTTAGATTTTTTTGTTTTTTCTGAAGAAAAAACTGTCAGTAATAGTTTTGAAAGTCATTATGAAAATTACGTGATCTGGGATCTTTAAGTCTTTTCTTCACTGTCTCGCTTTCATCTCCCTGACTAAGTCTATTGACCAATCAGAATCAAGTGTTCCAGAGAGCTGTGTAATAAAGCAAATCAGTTCACTCATCTGACGGAGACTGAATGTCAGTATTATGTATTTCATTTTCAGGAAATGACACAAGATGCATGTCTGACACTGAAGATTTTGGGGGCTGCTCTGCCTACAATGAGACCGGCATGTGCCAAGGCGAGCAAAAATTTGCATATTTGCAAATTAATGTGTGTGTGTGCATATGCTCATGTGTATGTTTGTTTATTGTAGCAGATGGTGGGTCCGCTGATGGTGGTGGCAAAGGTGAGGCATTTGATTTTCACTGTATAAATCCTATTATGCCTATTTTTGTTGTTGATGCAGGAGAAAGAGATCCAGGCAGACGAAGTCTTTCCGTGAAATTATATTTTATTAAAATCAATTATCATAAGTATAAGTGATTAAGATTACAGATGATTAAATGTAAAATATTTTAATAATTAAAATAATATGTAAAAATTTAAAGAAAAGTCAAAAAATGAATGCAATATCCACTGAACATATTCTGCTAAAATTCTAAGAGAAAAGACTAAAAACTGAGTATAATAATCTTCAAGAGCAAAAGAGATGAAGATCTTCAGAGCATGCAATAAGAGGGAAGGTAAAGAAGCCAATTTGGGGAGCAGTATATAGACTAGAGACCTCTTACAGCATCATGGAATGTTTATGTCTGATCGATAAAATGTCAAACAAAATGTTCCATTATGTCATTATCTACGTGTTGTCCAATATTTCCCCTACCTAAGATGAATTTAGTTTAGGACTAGGTCACATTGACATGACCTATGAAATGCAGTATGTAGAAGTAAGAAGTAAAAAATGGGGACATGGGTTGTGGTTTTACATCCTTCTAGCAGAAACAGCAGAGTTAAGCAATCTTCTTGCAAATACCAGCTCTCGGAAAAGAACTTCTAGTATCACGAAAATAGAAGACAACTTTAGCAAACATCCTTGCATATAAAATATTTTTGCAGAGAATAAGTTTCCAACATCCTGTCCAAACATCACTTAAATTTTAAAATTAATAAATGTTTATCTGTCAAATGAAGGAAATATATTACATCAATGGAATATGAGTACAACTAGAATTATGAATATAAATGCATAATACTAACTGAGTAGGCTATATGAGTAACATAATACAGTAATATGAATATAGTGTAATAAAACCATAAAAGAATAAGTCATAATGAATATACTATAAAAAATAAGGAAACATAACCATATTGGAAATTCTGATACACCAGTTGTTGTTGTTTACTGAATTCTCATTTTAATTATAGATACAACCCCTGATTTCTCTCAAGCATCATTTGACCTGTCCAGCTTCATTGGAGGAATCATCCTAGTGTTGGTGCTGCAGGCTGGGGCTTTTTTTGCCATGCGGTTCCTCAAAACGAAAGACAGCTCTTATGAAACTATGTGAGTAATAATCATTTATTAACTGAATGTGAGCTTTTTCTTGATGAATTTAGTCCTTACATTTTTAATGCAGTATGTAGGAACAACAAGGGCATTTACAGGCAGAGGGATTCATTCTGTATGTGTTGATCATTAACTGTGTAACTGTTTTGCCACCTTCTCTTACAGTGATCAACCTCAGTGAGAAAATGAGTCATGAATGGGAGAGAAAATTATGGAACAAAACATAAAGAAAAGCAGATACTCAAAGGAAGTCTATAGACACTGTTTTCTCTTTTTGCTAGTCCTAAAGCTTCATTAGCCAGTTAATTGCTTTGGTTAAATCACCATTTCTTGAATGACAAAAACTATTTTTGTGTGTACAGAAGAGAGAAATGTGAACAGAGAATGATATAGACATGTGGTATGACAAATATACTAGGGAATTATTCACATTTGAGTGTGGGCATGTGATTATCTCTTGTGGACTGAATTCATATCTGTTTAAGGTGATTTAAATATCTGGTTTGGCTCCGTTTCTGATTGTTGAACTATTTTATTTTAATTTTTTTAATAATTGCATGCCCTTTTATCTGCTTTTTATTAAATGCTATGTTTTGTAGGTGGTTACCTGGACTCATGTAGCATTGAGATTGAATGAAAAATGAAGCAATAAAGTAATTAGACTCGGAATGTTATACAGTGTTAGCCCTGTAGGTGTCAGTAGAACGAAAATGTTAATAACCTAAACCTCTCTGGGCCTGGAGGATGCATTAACCACTTACAAGAATGAACATATTTTGTGCTTTTGACAGTATCTTAAACTGTCCTTCATTTATTTTGTCTTTAATCAACTTTCAACATAATTTTCATCAGCCTATACCTCAATTTTACAACCAATCTTTTTCCCTGTAATTCAAAATTCTTACTGTATATTCATTTTCTGAAAAAAAAAAAGCTGACAGTTTTTACCATCAATTTAATAAGACATGTTTTGCATTGCACATGACAGTCTAAATTTCAAATTCTCATGCATCTGTATTCCTCACATTGGGCTCCTCTCATTCTCGTGTGTTGGACTCACCATGCATATGCATTCACTCCGTCCACACATTCAGAAAGAACACTCTCACATTCACACTGCATTCTGTGAAGGTGGTTTCCCTAAAGTGATTCTGGCTGTAGGACTGCCAAATGACTGAAGAAACATTGTTAACATGATTATATAAAACTGTGCATGTCTTGTCTATCAGCACACTTTACTTTACTGAAACCACCAACGGAAATCATCACAGTTAAAATAACAAAATATATAGAAGAGAAGACTGCTAGAATGTGACTCTACTGCATTGCAGTAAATAGCACTTAAATGTTCATATGGAATCAAAACTAATTTGCACATACATTGTAATTGAAACAGTTTAATAACATTTAAAGGTTATAGGTTATTTAAAGGTTATGAGAGGTTATACTTGGGAATAGATGCATGAAATTATATACAGGTACGTGTAATTTCCACTCAGCTTGTTTGGGCAATGTTACCTGAAAGATAAAGAGAGAGAGAGAGAGAGAGAAACAGCTTTAGGTAAAAGTAGACAGAAAGACCTATGTCTGTGACCTATGGCCATAGGCCTATCTCTGGCCTGTGGCTTCAGTCTAGGAAGGCAAAACTCTGATAGAAAGGACGAGGAGGATCCAAAAGTAGGAATATAACTGTCTTTGTTCATTTTAAAACTTACAATTTGTATTGTCACACAGCTTCTCTTTCACTTTTCTCATATCTTTCAGATGTGCAGATGTCTGTTGTTTTTGCTCACTCTGTGAGGGGGTGGGGTGTGAGAACTGTTGTTTGTCTAGACGAGAGACGAGAGCATAAGAGGGAAGCAGACATCTGCTCTGTACTACTGCTAATAAGCCAAATCGGTAAACACATTCTCTCTGACTACTGTCCTTTGCAATTCTTCAACACCAAAAGGTACTCTTATAATCAAATTAAAGTCCAACAAGGTTTAAAATAAACAACAGTAAGCTGTATTAGTCTGATAAGGATAAAGAAAAACAAATTCTCAGATTATGATAAATAACATTACATTTACATTATGGCACTGATGCAGTGTAAACCAAGCAGATGATCCAGACAGTCACAAAAAAAAGTAAATTCAAGTATAAAGTCTGATAATAATGATAATATAGAACCCAATAAATTAAATCAAATAAGCATAAACGTTGTAAAAGCAAAATGAAAATGGAATGAAAACATAAATCAAATATGACCCAGAATGTAAGTAGATAAACAAGGCACTCTGAAGGAGAAATATAGCTGCAGAATGCAAGTCTTCTAAAACGCATTAAGAAAACCAAACATTTTATAGGCTGTGCTATATGACAGGAAGGACCAAGAAATTCCCCACTGAACTATCTTAAAATTATCTTGCAATGTTTCAAAGTTGAAACATTCTTGCAGGTCCTTGTGATAATGTTTTTCATTAGCCAAACTGATTACTGTATTAAGCAATTGTAGTTTTAACACTATTTAAGAAATGGGAAAACAACTGTGAGCATCAACTTCCTCTTAAGGTTTTTACCTTGCTAGGTCATAAAACAAGATAAAACAAAATATAACGATTAACTGATGATAATTTTGTAAAAAAAAAAAAAAAAAAGATCTAAGGAATCAATACAGTGAATATATGATACAGTGAATGTATGATGAATATATGGTATTCAGTGAACATATGGATATTTTAAATGAGAAAGATAAAATGAAACACCAGGCACAGGGAAAAGTAAGGAGTTACTCTGTTCATTATCTCACTCAGATGGCATCCAAGGACAGGGCCTCTGTGTCAGGTCTTAAAGAAACAAGAGAAGGAAAAGATATATTTGTACCGTATATAAAATTACTAAACACATAAACAAAAATATACATATAATCAGAATAAAAGTAAATAAGAATTATCAGGCAGTTTCATCAAAGGTGCCATTGTTTACATTAACTGGCCAATAATCTGTGGTGGGATGAGGGTTTTTTTTTTTTTTTAGAGAAAAATGGGGGGGTGGAGAAGAATC